GGTGAATAAGTCTCCAACCAGAACCAAAGCAATGCTGCCATTATGTCACCCATCCTCCAGCATCCTACCCCTAACATAGCACTGTGGCTCTTAAACCCAAAGAGAGCTGCTACAAGAGTACCTCCTGGACAGTTCCATCCCCTCCTGCAATAATAATCAAGTCTGTGTTCTCCATCAGTTCCAGCAGCTTCTTTGCTTGTCCTTCATAATCTGTCTGAGATAGAAAGAGAAACCAAGCATCAGAAACTCAGCTTATCATGCCTAGGATCACAGGCATGTCTACAGAAAAGTGACGTTTGCTCCATAAGCTCTCTAAAGACGTAACATCATGCACCTTGAAAATTATATGCACAGAAATCACTTCACTGGCTTGTGAAACAAGTCCACTGTTTAACAGTATGTAACATCACTATACAAAAGGCAGAGGCTTTGTAAACCTCCATAACTAGTTTCAGAGTAGTGCAAATCCACAAGGAGCATTAAGGTCAAGTACATTTTATCTAAACTGAAAAGTACTTGAATACTAAGGAATCACTGGATCTTTAGTCAAAGACTGCGGTCTTGTCTCCTCCAAGATGGAGAATCTCTAATACCAGTATCTCCCAACACTATGTTGTTTATCTCGTTCACTGCTGTCATCTGGCTTAATACTAAGTAAGTGCATTTACTGGACCAACAACACTATTTTCTGTAGCATGCAAGCTATTCGCAATGGTCTCTCATTCAACTACTGACCCAGCCACATTTTGCTTAATTCCTGAAATGTACAGTTGAAAAAAAACTGCAGCTTGACAAAAGCCTAGTAAAATAAATAAAATTTTCTCCTGGGCTGACACTGTGTCTTTTTAACAGAATAGAGACAGGCACTGACAAAACCAGAGGTTTATGAAAGAAACACTAACACAATCTTATCACTAAGGCTACAAGATGGAAAGATACACCTGTCAGAGTACAATCATTTTCTAAAAGAGCAGCATTTATTGCCAGAATATAATGCATATGAAACTAGCTAAAGTTTCCCAATCCCAAGGAGCTTTCAGAAACAGCAAGATCCCTACATGTTTATTTTCCTTTTCTTTTACTTTGTGCTTTAGCATTCCCAAAACATTCCATTACTTGGGGATCCATTAAAGCATGCAAGGTTATTTTTAATCAATATATACTGTTCTATTGCAGTACTAACTTCTTGAATTTTATAGATTCAGGCACAGCAGACAACCCCAATGACTGTGTGCCTAAACTACCAGATGATTCTAAGATTTAGATTCTCCTCTCAAATATTAATTACAGGAGGGTTGCCTTACACAAGAACATAAATCCATCCCATCACCCCCACTGAAAACTAAAAGTAATTCAAGAAGTTTGTAAACCAAATAGAAATTTAAATATATATATATTAAATACTAGGCTACGGTTTCAGCATTTATATTCTCCGATTCCCCCAATACTCCCCAGCAATATTCCAACAACAAATGCCTCCCTTCAGATGTCTACAGAGATATACCAATGGTGAAGACACAGCAAGCCTAAACAGATCATCCCTTACCTTAACTATTGTTACATCCAAGCCAGATAAGTGCAAAATTGGAGCGGCATTCTTTTCAAAGAGGTTCCTAGCTTTGCTAAGGAAAGTAAAGGAGGAAATGATTTAGTTGTGCGGGGGCTTAAATATTAAAAAAACAAGAAGGAATGCCTGATCTGTATACACAAGGCAGTTTGTTTCTTAGACTGAATCTTTAAGTATTGAATCTTTTTGATACAGTCTTAATAAATGCAGTAGCAAGTTCCAAACTAATAATAATAAAAAAAAAATAAAAAACAGCAAGACTTCCAGAAAACAATATATTATTTATTACAAAATTAGCAAGCCATGGAGCAGCAGGCCTTAAAACCATGAAGAAATTCTATGTTAAATTTTAAGAAAATAGTTTTAAACAGTTACTAGTTTCATACATTATTTAGTAAGTTTATGAAACAAAAACTTTACCTGACCTTGTTTTAGTAAAGCTCTCATGCATTTTATGCCTGTTAATGCATAATAAAATAACTGTGCCATTAATTATAAATTGTGTACAATGAGCAGAACCCAGGGAACAGAAAATCGAGACTATACATTTATGGATACTGTACATTTTTCAAAGATGAGTGGTTTGTTGCAATTCCACCTTGTTACCACAGAACAAAAATGCAAGTCTATGTGCTTCCAGGTAAGGTAACTTAACTCTCTTTTAATTATTCTCTGAAACCCACCAGAGACGTTAAGTGACAGGCAGTCCAGCCAAACTAAAGGGATACACCCATGCATCCCTAGTACTACTCAATACTATGCTGACCATTCCCCCGAAACATTCCCAAAGAACTGCTGACTGTCTCCAGAAGCCTAGCTCTGTGCCCAGTTTTACAAGGCTCATGCCCATGGTATTGGGCACATCCCTCCTCAGGGTTAATTCTCATGTGACAGGAGCACTGGCTATCTACTACTGCTTCTGTGTTTACTGAGGAAGAAACCAAGACCTGCTTCAAGAAACAAATGCTGAGGAACCAAAGAAAGGATTTAAGAAAACTAAGAATGGAGGAGGCTTAAATGATTTGGGATTCATTCACCAAACGTGAACTTTTCATTTTCTTTAAATTACCATTTCTGATCCAATGTTTCAGGTACACGAGCACACACAAGTTGGATAACCTCAGGCTGGTGTGAAATGAAGGCAAAAATCAAGCCCAAAAGTTTAGCTGGACCTTAAAGCAAAGGGAAACATATAGGGTATCGGAGATATGAAGAATGGAGGGGGAGGAAGTCTTTACCCTTTGCAAGCTGCTGGGTTGAGAAAAACTGTTGCTTTCTTCACTTGCATGCTGGAAGGAATCGACTGATTGCCAAACACCTACATAAGAGAAAATGGGATCGAAAATCAGTTTCTCTCCTCAATCAGTTTTTAGGTACAGTATTAAATTGTTCATCCAAACAAACAGCATTATACTCCTACCCCACCCTACAAACAAATGGCTTCCCATTAGCAGAGCTTTGTCCTTAACAAGTTTGTTTCAAAGTCACCCACAATTTCACAGACTGAAATCCTCTACTCCATTTCTTCGAAACCACTACCATTCTCTTTGAATTCCAACCTTATTTTTCCAGCCAAGGACAAAAATCTTGGGAGCTGTTCCTGAGTCTAAAATTACTTTTTTCTTCCTTCCCACATAATTCTTGTATATTTGTCTACCACTTCCATCATAACACTGCCAGAACCCACTGAGGCACTGTTTTGGCACCCCTACCTTTATCTACAAGGTTATCTGTATTCTCTCTTTGTTGTTCTCCTTGAACCCATGTTTTTTAAACTTTAATATGAAGGGGAAAGAAAACTGTAACCAGACTACTTACTTTTACCATTAAGCAGAACCCCATTAGATTTCTCTCCACCTCTGAATACAATAAAAAATAACCTCTTGATATTAAAAGGTTTTTCAATAGATTTACTGCATCTTTCTAGCCAAGAGTTTATTCCCACCCTGGCCACTTTCTCATCCCTCTCCCACAATTCAATGCTACAGCAGCGGGCAAGGGAGGGTTGTGTTTTTACTTGTGCTTCTTCATCTTTTAGATCTCCTTACTAGTTAACCCGAAACCAACACTTGCTACTTTTGGGCACCTATAAACATGATGGACCTTTGCATGTGACCTAATCAGCACGTCAGAGCAAACTCGATCAACTGAGTTTGCTGGAGCATGCTAATTAGTGCACTCCAGCAGCCTTCACATCATGTGTATTCAGTGTCCCCGTTTCAAAATGGTGGCAGGGACATTTTAATTAAAGCTCGTTGAACAAATTTAGCTAAAGAGCCCCCATTGCCATTTTGAAGCACGGGACACTGAACACACATGACGCTGTGGGTGCTTTAATTAGAATGGCTCTCTCAGAGCACATGTATAGACGCCTTTTATTATGTTGTTGGAGCATCTCACAGCAATGATGAGGGAGCAAGACCCACTGTGCTAGCTGCTTACATTCAAAGAACGAAAAAGGAGACTGTCCCTGCCTCTGTTCCTTTCTAATTTACAAGGAAGTATCTTTAAAGCATTTTGATGCCACACAACACATTATGCATGCAGAACACTCCATATTTCAGTGATCAGTAGCTATTCAAAGCTGTAATTAACTCCAATTATCAACTTTATCAAGGGAACCTGAGTTAAGGGAAAAATATATACGATTAAAGGCAGGGCATTAAATTCAATTTTCTTTTTAAAGAAACAGGAAAAGAAGGGAAAGGAAAAGAGTGCATGAGAGAGGTTACTGAAGGAAAAGAAAATGGGGGGAAAAAAATCAAACCAGTGGCCCTTAAGTTTTATTGGAAAACAGCTGGAGAAACCCCCCCCCGATTAATTGTATTACAATTTTTTCTTTAGGGAAATCATGGGAAATGAGGGTCCTCATCAATAATCCTCTGGTACATTACAGCTGTTGGAAACAACTGATTATTCACTAGGGGCTGAGGGGGAATGCAATATATTTACTTGCTCTAAACAAACAGCCTCTTACTGCTACACAATCATTTCTTTTTCTGATATACTTGGGATATATTTCTGTCACAAACTCCAGCTCAAAGATGGGAAATTTTAAAAAAAAGAGAAGTTTTTATAAGTTGCTTAGGAGTCTATCTCCATGAAAAATATATTTGAAGACAAAAATGTAGGAAGGTCAATGCCTTTTTCATTTGTCTGCTGGCAGCAGAACTCCAGATACTGTTTCCCCCCAGTGATCGCAGCACCCAAAAACCACTTCTAATACTTTACACATACCTATCCGTTTTCATACCAAGATCTCAACATGCTTCATAAACACTGATTAATCCCACGTACCACTTTAAAGTGCAGGCTGTAGAGAAACTGGAAAAGCTCCAGAGGTGTGGAACAAAAATGATAAAGAGCTTGGAAGGAAAGAGGTTGAAGTAAATAGGCATGTTCAACTTGTGGAAAGAGCAATTAAGAGGGGCATGATAGAGATCTTTAAAGATCTGGAGGTCTGCCATGAAGAGGGGGAAGATCTTTCCTCTGTTGCTGCAGAGTAGAACAGGTAGCAATGGCTTGAAATTACAGCAAAGCAGTTAAGACTGGATACCAGGAAAGCTTCTTCACTGTTATAAGTCAGGCAGTGGAACAGACCACCCAGGAAAGTTAAGAAATTTGCATCAATGGAGGTTTTCAAGAGTAGGTAGGATAAGCATTGCTTAGGGATGATCCAGGAGTGGCTACGTCTGGAGTATGCTATAAACAGCAGCAGTTGGAAGTCCAACAGCTCCCTATGAATGGATCACTGAGAGATCACAAGCAGAGCTCAGCAGCCCTGAGCAGGTGGATATGAGAGGACAGTGCTCAGCAGCCTGATGAATGGATGCTTTGGATAGGGATGATCCCATCTTGAGCAGAGGGCTGAACTACTAAGGTTCCTTTCTAGGACGCTATGTTTCATAGTTGGCAGGGTCAGAAGGGACCTGAGCAGATCAAGTCCAACCCCCTGCAGGAAAAAGTACTGGGGTCAAACGACCCCAGCAAGGTGTTCGTCTAACCTCCTCTTAAAGACCCCCAGGATAGGAGCCAGCACCACTTCGCTTGGAAGTTGGTTCCAGGTCCTAGCCACCCTGACCGTGAAGTAGCACCTCCTGATGTCTAGTTTGAATCTAGCCTTTGCCAGCTTGTGGCCGTTATTTCTAGTCACTCCTGGTAGTGCTCGGGGGAACAGGGACTCCCCCAGTGCCTGCTGGTCCCCTCTGACTAGTTTGTAACAGGCCACTTGATCCCCCCTCAACCTTCTCTTGTGGAGGCTGAACAGGTTCAGGTCCCTTAGCCTCTCCTCATAGGGCCTGCCCTGCTGCCCCCTGATCATGCGGGTGGCCCTCCTCTGAACCCTCTCAATGCTGTCCACATCCCTCCTGAAGTGCGGCACCCAGAACTGGACGCAGTACTCCAACTGTGGCCTGACCAGTGCTGCATAGAGGGGGAGGATCACCTTCTTGGACCTGCTTGAGATGCACCTGTGGATGCATGACAAGGTGCGGTTGGCCTTCCTGACTGCGTCCCCACACTGTCGCCCTATGTTCATTTTGGCATCAATAATGACTCCAAGATCCTTTTCTGCCTCTGCACTGACAAGAAGGGAGTTCCCCAGCCTGTAGGTATGCTGCTGATTCTTCTTCCCCAGGTGCAGCACCTTGCACTTGTCAGTGTTGAAACCCATTCCTCCTTTATCCCTCTGCACCAGTTAAAACACTCTCTCCCTTGCCTGTTGCACACTTCTGATGCACAATTAGTTCTTTTTATCTTTCCCTGCAAATCCATTTTTCTTTGCTCTTCCTTGAATTCCCTGCAATCTGGTAGCATCTTTCAGATTCTAAGGTATTAACAGTTTTTTGTTGAAGGTGTATTTAAGACACTGATCACTTGAACATTCAAGCACCGAACAAGACAACAAAAGAAGTATAGAAGTCTGAAGCAAAATATGTTCTCTATCAGTGCTGCAGGATAATTTGAGGGTATAGTTTCTGCTATTTATTATGAGAGGTGATCATGGGGAAATTTTGTTCTTCTGCTCCTGTACAGTTTGAGCTTCTCGTAATCTATTTGGGCAAAAATTTCCATAGGCTGGGTCATGTTGCTGTGAATATCTTCTCCTCAGCATCTGACAGTCTAAATTTGGATTTCTCCAGGTGCATCACTGTTGTGAAACATAGTGACAGGAATACTCACCTTGAGAAGTTGAAGGTCTGATGAAAAAAAATCATTTTCACCCTTCCTTCTTGGTACTCAGAAACAACACTCATGGGTACCCATACAAAAGCTGATGAAATCCCTTTCTCAAGGTGCTGGCAACGATGAACACGTGTAGAACAAGATTTAAATCACAAGCTGGAAAGAGGTAGTGAGACTCCTGAAATGTGTGCTCGGCTGGGGTGGAATGACTTGTGTGCAGTCCCTGGGCAGCAGCACTCATGTCAATCAAAGCGCGCTTGTTAAGTGCAGGATTCCCACAAAAAAAAAAAAAAAAAAAAAAAAAAAAAAAAAAAGAAAAGACTACAAGAGTGACCTGGCTGCACAGACTCTGGATAACATAAGTACATGGGGAAAGAAAACAGCGAGTCCACAATCCCCGTAGGGTATATGGACACCGAGAACTCATTTTACCCTCGCTGACCTAAGCGTGGATGCCCTACATTCAGTTACTTGCACACAAACTCAGATGCTACATTTGCCATCTTCAGTAGAGTTACGCTGGATTGAACAGGCAAGGACACTGACTAGCTTATGAACCCCAAAGATGGTCTCTCTAGTTCAAGATCAACATAAAGAAGCTTGTGCTGCTTCCCTCATGATGTACCTGCTCCATGACAGAGGTGAAATTTCAATCTCTTTGCCTGTTGATCCCTGCCTTTTCACCACACCAGAATTTGGGAAAGATGGAATAATGAAACTTCCACAACTGGAAGGCTGTGCAAAACTGACCAATGCCAAGGAGATAACCCTTGTGATGTATTTCACTGTTCACAAACTGAATCCAAGCTACAGCAAGGGGCCTGACCCCCAACTGAATGTAGGGGGCCTTGTTCATCCTTTGGAGTCTCTGGAAAAGAACACAGATGGTATCGTTGTCAGGCTTGTCACGTAGAAGAGACCTGCTGGGAGAATCTCAGGAGTCCTGCACAACTGAGATAAGAAGGGGATTTTAATCTAATTTTATCACATTAAATGGTATTACCTGGGCTTCTTGGCATGCAGCTCTCCTTAGCAGGTTATCGCTATCAGGGAAGAGAAAGGAGAA